AATAATGAAAAGAATGAATAGACCATTTGGCATTCTGCAGTTACGTCAACAGGCATGAGTGCTGTCAAATTAACTGAGCAAGAAAGGGATCTTCATCGCACTATTCCCAGCAAGTATCAAAAGCAGGGTAGAAAAAAAGATACTGTGCTCATGGTAGTTTATCGTTTATTTTTTATTGACTTCTTTAGTTTATTTTTTGAGATGAACCCTCACCCTGTCACGAGGCTGGAGTGCAGTGGCATGATCTCGGCTCACTGCAACCTCCACTTCCTCGATCTCAAGCCATCCTCACACTAGTTTATCGTTTAAATGACTGTAAGTCCCCATTTTAAATTGACAAACATTTGACTGATACTACACCTTAGAATTCTCCCTGAAATGTTTGCTCTTGCTACTCAACAGTAAGCTTATAGAATCTGGAAAATCAATTTGTATTGGAGGCTTGTTCCTTGAAGTAGCTACTGTTGCTTTTAAAAGAAACCCTCCTGGCTGGGCGTGGTAGCTCACACCTGTAATCCTAGCACTTGGGAGGCAGAGGCGGGAAGATGACTTGAACCCAGGAGTTTGAGACCAGCCTGGGCAACATAGTGAGACCCTGTCTCTACAAAAAATAAAAATTGTCGGCTGAATGGGGTGATTCATGCCTATAATCCCAGCACTTCAGGAGGCCAAGGCAGGAAGATCACCTGCGGTTGGGAGTTCGAGACCAGCCTGATCAACATGGAGAAACCCTGTCTCTACTAAAAATACAAAATTAGCCAGGTATGTTGGCGCATGCCTGTAATCTCAGCTACTCGAAAGGCTGAGGCAGGAGAATCTCTTGAACCCGGGAGACAGGTTGCGGTGAGCTGAGATTACGCCATTGCACTCCAGCCTGGGAAACAAGAGTGAAATTCTGTTCCCCTCACAAAAAAAATTGTGTAGGCATGGTGCCATGCACCTGTGGTCCCAGCTGCTTGGGAGGCTGAGGTGGGAGGGTGGCTTGAGCTTGAGAGGTTGAGGCTGCAATGATCTCCGATTGTGCCACTGCACCATGCACTACAGTCTGGGTGACAGTGAGTCCTGTCTCTAAAAAAAAAAAAAAAGCTCTCCAAAGGACAAAAGGTTCAGATTCACTATAACACATCAGATATTCCCCCTGAAGGGCTTGCCTCTGAGATTATTCTTCTTTGGGAAAACCCTATGCAAAATGAAGGCCAAAAAAAAAATCTACTAGTTACTGTATTTTGTATTGTATTTTGAAAGTTGGTTGTCTAAGACTCCAGGGTAATTTACAGCAATTTATGCACGTTATTTTCCAAATCCGGGTATGATAACAAATCAAGCAAACCTGTTTGTTTGAGGTATACTGCTTTACTCTGCAAATTTTTATTACTTTAGATTGAGGGGGTACACGTGCAGGGTTGCTACATGGATATATTGCATGATGTAGAGGTTTGGGCTTTTAATGATCCCATCATTCAAGTAGCAAACACAGTACCTTGTAGGCAGTTTTTCAACCATTGCCTCTCTTACCTTTTGCAGCCCTCAGCATCCATCATTCCCATCTTTATGTCCATGTGTACCCAGTGCTCGGCTCCCACTTACAAGTGAGAACAGGCAGTATTTGGTTTTCTGTTTTGGTATTAATTGCTTAGGATATCAGACTCCAGCTGCATCTATGTTGCTACAAAGGACATGATTTGTTCTTTTTCATGGTTGTATAGTATTCTGTGGTGTGTATGTACCACATTTTCTTTACCCAGTGCACTGTTGATGGGCACCTGGTTTGATTCCATGTGTTCGCTATTGTGAATAGTCCTGTGATGAACATAGGAGTGCAGATGTCTTTTTGATAGAAGAATTTATTTTCCTATGGGTATATTCCAGTAATAGGATTTGCTGTGACACAAGGTAATTTTTAGTTCTTTAAGAACTAAAAATTTTAGTTCCTATTGTTAGTTCTTTAAGAAATCTCCAAACTGCTTTCCATAGTGGCTGAACTAATTTGCATTATCACCAATGGTATATAAACAGTCTCTTTTTCCCAAGGCCTCAGCCACATCTGTTATTTTCTGACTTTTTATTAATAGCCATTCTGATGGTATGAGATGGTACCTCATTGTGGTTCTGATTTGCACTTAACTAATGATTCGCCATACTGAATATTTTTCATATTTTTGCTGGTCGCTCATATGTCTTCTTTAGAGAAGTGTTTGTTCTGTTCACATCCTTTGCCTGCTTTGTAATGGAGTGTTTTTTTTTTTTTCCTGGTGTGATGGTAAATTCTGCAAAAAGGTATTTTATTTAACAGCAGGGACTTCATACGCATACATTATCAATGCCTTGAAAACCAAAGAAGTTTAACAGTAGTTTCTAGTTTCTGCATGTACAAAAAAATACTCATTTATTTGTTTATTTATTTATTTGAGACAGAGTCTTGCTCTGCAGCCCAGGCTGGAATGCAGTGGTGTGATCCTGGCTCACAGCAATCTTTGCCTTCTGGGTTCAAGTGATTCTCATGCCTCAGCCTCCTGAGTAGCTGGGACTACAGGTCTCTCTAGGCCCTGAGTCTGGACTGGCCACATCCTCCATAGGCCAAGAGCTGGCACATGAGGAAGAGTGCTTGGGGATTGAAAAGGGTGTTAGAGTCCTTTGGGTGTGGTGTCAGCAGTGCAGTGTCTGGAAGATGGCTTATTTTAATTCCATGGAGCTCTTCATGCCCAATGAGTGGGCATGATGCCTGTTCTTTGCCAGGCAAATTTTGCCACCCCATTCAGCCAACAATTTTTATTTTTTGTAGAAGAATTAACCCATAACTTCTAATCTTTCTCAGAGCCAGCTATTCTTAGCATTGGTGATATGCTGATAACTTCATTTGCGGTCTGTAAATCCATTACTGTGACAGTTTTAGAATAGGCACAATTCTCAATGTACTTGCTGGAGATTTTAAGGGAAATGCTCTTTGGGTCATCTTTCTCTTTCTCTAGATGGATGTGTCTCTGAAGGAGAGAGAGCCATTTGTCCTTCTGTTCTGGAGAACTGAAAGTGGCCACAGAGTGCCCTGCGGGTCAGCCCAGAGCCAAGGATCTCACGGCATTGGTGTTGCCTTCTTCCACGTCATCCACACAGCTTGCTGTCCACGTACCAGTTAATCTAATTTTACTTTGTATTATACAGTTATTGTTATATTTGAGTTTGGCCACAACTAACAGGTCACTGAATAGGAAAAGCTGCTCCTCCTTGTCTCTGCAGGCCTCTTCTGAGTTCTCCCTGGCTGTCAATCAGCAGAGTCCTATTGGAGCACCCAAATGATGACAGAATTGCACCTGTGTGATGCTGGCAGAAGGAAACCTGGTAACGAGGCCGTTTTTGCAGGACTTTTTCCAGGTTAAGAGGGCACTTCTCCTTTGTGTTAGTGATTTCTTCTTCCAAAGCTAAACTCACAGGCAGGCATCGTTGGCCCTGATAACTTTGGAGCTGACCCTGCTGAAGGGCCACACTCACCCAGGCCACTGTTGGGGATCCAGGGGCACAGCATGCTGAGGAGTTGGGAAATGGGGATTCCTGCACTCCAGCCTGGCACCCCTACTGAGGGCGGAGTCTGGCTGCTGATGAGGCTGGAGGTGGGAGGGAGGCTGCCGGTCCACTCAGAGAGAGAGTAAGGCCCCAGATATGGAGAACAAGGAATGGGGGTAGAGGGTTTTGGTGGAGGTGGCAGCAGGGCTGGCCGTGAGGGGCAGGATCTCGGTTCACTGCAACCTCCACCCCCCAGGTTTAAGTGATTCTCCTGCCTCAGCCTCCTGAGTAGCTGGGATTACAGTCTCCCACCACCATGCCGGGCTAATTTTTGTATTTTTAGTAGAGACAAATTTCACCTTGTTAACCAGGCTGGTCTAGAACTCTTGATCTCAGGTGATCCTCCTGCATTGGCCTCCCAAAGTGCTGGGATTACAAGTATGAACCACCTCACCCAGCCTCTAAAACATTTTCTACCATTTGGTAATTACTCCTGGCTGATTTTGGGATTTCTATTAGCAGGAATTTTTCTCGTCGTGGTTGTTATTTAAATAAATAAAATACATGGTATTAACTCTGTGGAGGCTTCCTGTGAAGAACTGAGTTGAGGATTGAATATTTAATCATTTCAGAATACATAAAATCCTTTCCTACTAGTTAATTGGAGAAATTCTTCAATTTTTCTGAAGCAGTTATACTTTCCTTAAAATTATTGAGTTTTAAAGTATCTACCCAATAATTAAGAAAACATGTAGCTGGGCACATTGGCTCAGGCCTGTAATCCCCAAACTTTGGGAGATTCAGGTGGGTGGATCGCCTGAGGTCAGTAGTTTGAGACCAGCCTGGACAATGTGGTGAAACCCTGTCTCTATGAAAAATACAAAAATTAGCCAGGTGTGGTTGTGCTCACCTGCAATCCCAGCTACTTGAGGCAGGAGAAGGTGCTGCAGAGGTTGCAGTGAGCCAAGACTGTGCCACTGTACTCCAGCCTGGGCAACAGAGCAAAACTCTGTCCTAACTAACTAACTAAATAAATGTAGTTGAATTTTAAAAATATAATTAGGTTTTAAATGTCTATCTTAGTGTAAAGTAAGAAAAGTAGTAAGTGGTTAATGCTGAAATACGTAGCTAAAAGTTAAAATCACAAGTGGGCAGAGATGTATCCACTTGTTTTGATAACATGGAGATTATTTATGACCTGCGCTAGCAGGTATGATACAGCGGAGGAGACAGAATTAAAATTACATAGCTGGTGGTTGAACCAGGTGTAGCAGCTCAGGCCTATAATCTCAGCACTCTGGCAGGCCAGCGTTGGAGGACTGCTTGAGCCCAGGAGTTTGAGACCAGCTTGGGCAAGAAAATAAGACTGCATCTCTACAAAAACAAAAGTTCAGAAATTTAAAAATTAGATTGGTTGGTGGAGTGAAGGAGAGGTGAAGAAATAGAGACAAACAGTGTAGGCACCTCTTACTACTGATGAGGCAGAAATAAAACTATATTGACATTCTCAGATTTAAAAAAAACATTTATTGTAATAAGACTATTGCAAACACATTAAAAAAACTAAAGAGTAATATTACAAAATCTCTATACTTGCACATTTAGCATTTGTCAGTGTTCCAGAGGTTTTCTCCCTGAAATTTGACTTCTTTGAAGTGAAGGCATTTTTCCGTCATCCCTTATAACTCTGTTTGAATAAGTCTTAATGCTTTCTTCATGTTGTCTATCACTGAAATAAGAGTTAATATATATTAGGATATTAATAAATGAAAGTACAAATGCTATGATCTAACAACTCTAGAATCTGAAATTAACCCATTTACATTAATAGCTTAGAAAACATGGCAATTCATCTCTGACATTAAAGAATATGCTAAAGGTGTATATGTGAATTTAGGAATTAGACCATTGAGAGCTGGTTGGTCATCTTTACGCTGAACGATTTTATCAGTGGTGTTTTGAGTAGTATGTCTTTTTCTTAAATGGATCATTTTGTATTAGTATTGCTAGATCTTAAAGGCACAGTTATCTTATTAAATATAGTTGAAAATATTGTAAAAAATAGATTTGGACAGGCTTGGTAGGTCATGCTTATAATCCCAGCATTTCGGGCAGCTGAGTCAGGGGGATCACTTGAGGCCAGGAGTTTGAGAGTTTGAGACCAGCCTGGGCAACATATCAAGATCCTATCTCTAAAAAAAAAAAAAAAAAAAAAAAAGAGGATTAAAGTCCTAAGTAAGACTGTAACTCCTTGCTTATAGGCATTAAAGAAAGATGAAATGATTTTACTATTATCATCATTTGAGGAAATCACGAGATACTTGATACTAGGAGAATGGGCTGTCTCAAGTTTGTGTCATTTTAATGTGTACTATATTCTTTTCAGTGGTCTCAGAATTTAGAAATCATAAAACCCCTTAGGCATCCTTGTTAAAATAGATTCTCAGGTAGCCCCAAAAGTCTGATTTTGGTAAGAGCTAGAAGTTGGCATATTTTTTTTTTTTTTTTTTTTTTTTTTTTTGCTTGTTTGTTTTTTGAGACAGAGTTTCACTCTTGTTACCCAGGCTGGAGTGCAATGGTGCGATATCAGCTCACCGCATCCTCTGCCTCCTGGGTTCAAGCAATTCTCCTGCCTCAGCCTCTCGAGTAGCTGGGACTACAAGCGCACACCACCATGCCCAGTTAATTTTTTGTATTTTTAGTGGAGACGGGGTTTCACCACGTTGACCAGGATGGTCTCAATCTCTTGACCTCGTGATCCGCCCGCCTTGGGCTCCGAGTGCTGGGATTATAGGCGTGAGCCACCGCACCTGGCCAGCAGTTGGCATTTTAAACACCACCACTAGCCTCAATGATTCTGGCTTGTAGATGGCAGTTTGCGGAGAAGCACTGATGGAGGGCGTCACTGGCCCCTAACAAACAAGAGTCAGCAATGACCACTGTTTCAGGTCGTTTGTGAATACTTACATAGGGGTAAGTCCTGAGGCTCATATGTATACAATCTGTTAGAGTATCTTCCAGTTATATCAGCCCTGACTGTTAAAGAAGGGTCTGTCAAGAAAAAAACAAGTCACTAAAGCATAATTTAGCATATTCTTTTTTTACTCTTTTAAAAATTTTATTTTATATTTGGGGGTTATGTATGCAAGTTGGTTACATAGATACATTGTGTGATGCTGAAGTCTGGGCTTCCGTGGAACCCGACACCCAAGTAGTGAACATAGTACCCAATAGTTTTTCAACCCTTGGCCCCCTCCCTTCTTCCCCTGTTGTGGAGTTCCCATTGCCTATTTTTCCCCTCTCTGTGTTCATGTGTAAACAGTGTTTAGCTCCTATTTATAAGTGAGAACATGCAGTATTTGGTTTTCTGTTTCTGTGTTAATTTACTTAGGATAATGACCTCCGGTTGCATCCATAAAATGTTCTTAAAATCATTTTTGTTTCTTAATCTAAAATGAATGTCAAGTAAATTTATAAGCAAAATTAGTTTTCATACATGTCAGTTCTTGAGGCATTATCCTGATTTCTCCTTTTAGTGTGTCATAGATCTCTGTCAATCTAGTCTGAAGCACTGTACTGAAATACATTGGGATACAGATTTAATAGCATACATGCTTTGAAAAAATATTCAAAATTTTCAAATTACAGATATAGTGGATTTTGATTGTAGAGCCAACCAGAGTTGATAATGATTAGATTAGAAACGACTTCTCTTTAAAAAGAATAGTACTTATGCTAGCATTTAAAAATAAAAGCAAGAATGCTGATTTCTACTAATTTTATAGATCTGATGAAATGAGATCACCTACATACCTACAAACATGATTCTGGGTACATATTGCCCATCGGGTGATAAATTCTTATCAGTGGTCTCATGCTAGCAGGAAAAGAAAAAAAAATGTTATTAGATTCGTTTGTTTTTAATAGTTAATTTCAAGATGATTTTGTGTGAACTCGATTGTCGGTAAATTCTATATTTTGGCCTTTTATAATTCTATATAACTTTCTGTATTAACCAACATATAGCTCTTTGTGCTTTAAAAGGAGAAAAAAAAGGATTCAATTTTCCTTTAAATGATAATATTAAGAAAATAGAAAGTTCATGTACCATAAGGTTTAGCATGATGAACTTATTCTGAGCCATTTCTTGTATTTCTTCATTTTGGGCAAATACTCTTTTTAGTCCTATAGGGGAAAAAAAAATTACCAGTTAGTTTAAGGATCAAGACATCTTTAATATAGCATAGCAAAATAAAGCTAATATTCAGCATTTGTTTGTGTATACAACTCAGGTGTAAATATTAATAGTTCACTAGTGTATTGCTACTTGGTCCCTCACTGGAAAGCAGTGAGGGACAGTCTGTTCAAAGAGACATCAAAGGATAATCACAGTGAAGACACTAATTTTATAATTTTATGTAACTCACTGACTCATTGGTTAAGGCAACAACTTTTTTTCAGTGTTTCTCCACTCTTTCTTTTTGTGGAAAGAAGAGGAATATCTAATTCCTAAGGGGATATAAGAGAAATATTCAGTAGATTGGTAGCAATCATTGTGATCTTGAAGTACTTTAGTAAAATGCTGGCACTCTGGCAGTCATCTTTTTTTTTTTTTTTTTTTTTTTTTTTTTTTAATGGGATTTGCTGAGTGCCTTCATAGCTATTATTACCAGGTCATTTTTCTTATTTTATATTGGATATACTATGTATTATAATAAAATCTCAGGAGCTAAAATTACCTTGGGAGTATTGACAATCCTCCAGGTGATGAATAACCATTAATGGCTTCTTACTAAAAAAAGAAAGTGTGGAATTAAGTCACATGATTAACTTTGAGTCAAAACATAGAGAGGAGTTAAATTGAAAGTTTTATTAGTTTCAATAAGACTTGCAGTAATAATCTCAGATTTACAAATCATAGCACTGTAGTCAATAGCAGTGTTACTCTATTTGTGGCCCCAGAAGTGATAGTGTCAGTATCACTAGGTAGCTTATTAGAAACTTACATTCAAAGGCTCCATTCCAAAATTAGCTGGGCATGATGGTGTGAGCCCATAGTCTTAGCTGCTCTGGAGGCTGAGACATGAGAAGAGCTTGAACCCAGGAGGCAAGGCTGCAGTGAGCCGAGATCACGCCACTGCTCTCCAGCCTGGGTGACAGAGCGCGACTCAGTCTCAAACAAACAACCAACCAAAGACCCCATCCCAGACCCATGCAGTCACAATCTCTGGGGTGAGGGGGGATTTCAGGAATCTGTAGCTTAATAAGCTTATCAGGTAATTCTTATGTACACTATACTGCAGTTAGAAAAAAGTCAATTCTGTATCCGGAGATAAAGGGGTATTATGAAAAATGTATTTGTTTCCAATGAACACCTAGTATGAGATTTCAGGAAAGTAACAGATTTTTAATTTAGTTTTTAAAAAAGCTTTTACAAAAATTATTAATATTAGGCTACGTTCACATTCTTTCATTCTTGCACATTGCAGAATGTACAAACAACCTGAGTGGGAGTTCCCTATTTAATACATTTTTGGGGGGTCATTTTGAGTTTAACCACAAAAAAATTTAAAAGATAAAAATTCTTCCTCCTCCTACTGACTTCTGTAAGTATGCTGTATTACTTTTTCTTATGTTTTCTCCCAGAGGTTTTCAGGTATATAACTGAAATCTATGTGAATATGTATACATATTTATCACTCTCATAGTCTGCTATTATTATGTTTTCTTCCACGTCTCCTTGGGCTGAAAAGGGCTGAGGATGGCCGGCAGACAGTTCACTAGCACTGTTCTGACTCAAAGGAGGAGACCAGGTTTCCAGCTCAGCGGCTTGAGTAGATTTCACCCAGAGATACCACTGCATGAAGCTGGGCTTAAATGTCCTTCATTAAGTTGGGCCTCATCTCCACTGACAGGGTCTATCATTCCATGTTCCCTGTCAGTCAGGGCTTCCATTTTCAATCTTCCAAAGTGTCACTTCAGAGGGAGCCTTCCAATATTTTAGATAAAAGAAATCTGAGCTTGGTTTCTCAATGGAATCATTAGTAGTCAGTACGGCAGTAGCGGAGTTTGGAGGCATAAAGCTGGTAGACAGAAGTTAGGAAAAAGTGCTTTTGCTGCCAGGGAATTTTCCCAATACTTTTTATTTATTAGAAACCAGTGGGGTTTGTGCAAGAGTCAAACACTTGATCCTCCTCCTTGGCAATGATTATATCCTCGGACTTGGTTGGAATGTATCACCCCTCTCGTGTCTATAGATGTGCTATATTCCCTGAGTAAAGAGCGTGTATTGCAGTCACCACTGAGGATATCTGCAAAACTTAGAAATTCACTGGCTCTCACAATATCATCAATTTCCACAAAGAAATCTACATAGTTTGGGTGAAGATATAAATTAGATAATTCTCCTGGCATGTGTAACTTTACTACTACATCCTCAGGTTCAACAAGCAATATATCCCATTCATATTTTGATAAATGAGAGGGCAACTGATGTGAGTATAATTCTGTTAAAGAGGCTCTTTTACAGTTAGAATTTTCCCCAAAGCTCTGAAGATAAACAGGGAAACATCTTTGCCACCAATAGCTTGGACCTCTTGATTTTCAAAAACCCTAAGGTTTTCCTCTTCATTTGGATTTTGACAGCACAGCATCTGACTTTAAAGACATTGCTTTTTTACTTGGCCATGCGTTGTTTTCTCCTATTGAAGAAGAAAACTGGAGGCTGTTATTGCACTTCTGATGTCACCAGAACATCCTTGACAGAGCAACTCTAGAGAAGTTTTGTCAGGGACAGTAATTTTTCCTCCATTCTTGTTAGCTTCTATAGTCACTATTGGATTAAGACATTTAATCGTAATTGTTTGTGTCACGGTGTTGAAACTAATATTTGAGATAGATTATTCCTCCTGAATTTCTCTGGGAAACAATAACCTTTGATTATTATCTCGATTGAGATGGTCAGAGATCATAAATATAAGAGGACATTAAACAATCTTCACATACTTCCTTAGAACTTCGTGGAAAGTATGAGAATTCCAATAAAACTGGTTAGGCAAATCTTCAACTAGAATTATCTTCTTATCAGTTCTGAGATCATCTCCAAGCATTTGTAACTTGTTATACTTTGTTGCTCTTAGTGGAAACTCCTTGAAAACTGCGATCTGAGACTGCTAGGGAAACATATGGAAGCTTGATTCAGTATTAAACTTTTCCTTGAAATCACCTTTTTGGAAGTCTGGTAAAACTGGATTAATTCACTCTTGTACTTGAATACCATGCTCCTTTGATAGCTGTTTTATGATCATTGTCTTGCCACATCCAGGAGGAGCTGTTATTAATAAAATAGATCCATCCTGTTTTGGTTGCCTTTTTAAGACTTGAGCTTTTAACTAGGTTTCAAAAACTTCCTTTTTTAAAAAAAAAAAATTAAATACACAGCATGTTCATGCTGAGTTTCTGGTTTATATTTATCCACCCGTGGTTCATTTTCAGACAGATATTCTTTTGAATTTTCTAAACTGTAAATCTGTTCTAAGGAAGATAGATTTCCTCTTTTTCTAGCTGGCAATCTGTTACTTTCTAATGTGGAAGGCCCATTTTTCCTTCTATGACTTGAGTTATTCACATCTAATGAGGTGGCAGTAGTAATAGCGATGCCTCTACACCCTAGAAAATCATCGAATGATGGGTCAACCCAGTCTGTTACCTTTGTGGAAGATACCTTTGGTTTGAGACAATTTGTGGCATTATAAACTATAATATTTCCCACCCATAGTATAGGACTTGCAGTACATTAAACTATAATTCACCTCTTTTAAAAAGCAGGTAACTGTCCCTGAAGATACCACATTCCTGAAATGAGAGATCATACTGTTTTGTTTTGTTTTTTAAATGATTTGCACATAGATGGGTATGTTTCTGAATACAATTCCAGAAGTAGAATTTCTGGAAATACACACAAAGAGTGTGTGCATTTATAATTCTGATATATACTCTCCATAGAAGCCATACCAATTCATTTTCTCTCTGGTATTGTGAGCAGTAATTATTTTCTCTATTCTCACTAAAGCTAGTTATTAATTTTTTTAATCCAATAGGTGAAAAAAGGGAAATTAATGTGGTTTTTCTTTCTTATAAAAAATAGTCAATCTTACATGTTTGAGTTACTTATTTTTCTATTCTGTGAACTTTCATGCTCTTTGCTCATTTTTTTTCTGTTTACTTGTTTACCTTTTTCTTATTAATGTATAGGAGCACATTGCATATTAGAGGAAGTCACCCTTGTAATATGTGCTACAGAGGTTGGGGAGGGATAACGTGGGGAGAAATGTCAGATACAGGTGACGGGGACAGAGGCAGCAAACCACCTTGCTGTGTACGTGCTTGTGCAACAATCCTGCGTGATCTGGACATGTATCCCAGAACCTAAAGTGCAATAAAAAAGAAAAAAACATATAAAAATATTTTTCCTTTGTTCACTCTAAGTTTTTGGTTCTGTAGAAAATTCCATATAATTGAAAATATTAGTCATTTCTTTTAGGCTTTTTCTTTTCTCTTTTCCTTTTCTTTGGCTATGCTCAAGTCTAACAGATAGGACTATGGTGAGGCCGGGGGAGCATCTAGAGTAGAAAAATTCGGGACTTTATTTTTGAACCCCAGGTATCTTTCTTGCCTCACTATAATCTTGGCTCTCCCCAGGCATTTAAATAAATAAAATGTTACAGTAGAATCTTCTAGTGCTTAATGTTTTAATTTTTATGATTATATCTTTCTAATTTATTTTTGTATGAATGTGAGATTGGGATGAAAATTTATGTTTTTCTCAGATGGCTCCCAACTTCTCTCGGACACTATTACCTAACCTGTGTCCCCTATTCCTGATTTAAAATTATCTTTTTGATAACAATCTTTCTAAAAGGAGCAAGGCGATATTTCACTGTAGTATTAATTTGCGTTTCCCTGATGATTAGTGATGTTAAGGATTGTTTTCATCTACCTGTTGCCCTTTTATATCTCTTCTTTTAAAAAATGTCTATTCAGGTTTTATGTCCATTTTTAAAATACCAATTTTATTTGTGTTTTGTTGAGTTGCTTGAGTTCCTCGTATGTTTTGAATACTTGTCTCTTTTCAGATACATGGCTTGCACATATTTTCTTCCATTCTGTTGGTGATTTCTTCATTCTGTTAATGTCTTCTTTGCCGTACAGAAGCTTTTGAGTTTGATGTAATCTCACTTGTCTATTTTTGCTTTTGTTTCCCATATTTTTGAGGTCATATCCAAAAATTCATTGCCTAGACCAACGTCTGGGTATATAGAATGATTTTTTAAAATACTGCTTTGATTTTAAGTGGATTGTGAGAATCAAAGGAAATAGGCTCTTTGTATAGTTTTTCAGGATTTTCTTCTTTTCAATAGCTAAATAGTATTTTATTGTGTACATATACCATATTTTATCGATTCATCTCATGACGGTCAGAAAAGATACTTGACATAATTTCAATCTTCTTAAGTTTGTTAGACTTGTTTTGTGGTCTGTCATGTGATCTGTTCTAAAAAAGAATCCCTATGCCACTGAGAATGTATCTTCTCTTGCTGTTTGATTAAATGCTCTGTATATGTTTGTTAGGTCCATTTGGTCTAAAGTGTCGTTTAAGTCCAGTGTTTCCTTATTGACTTTTTTGGATGATCTGTTCATTGTTGAAAGTAGAGTACTGAAGTCCTTTACAATTAGTGTATTGTAATCTATTCCTCTTTTCAGATCTATTAATATCTGCTTTATGTATTTAGGTACTGTAATGTTGGATGAAAATATATTTATAATTGTATCTTCTTGGTAAATTAATACCTTTCTTATTATTTAATGACTTTCTTTGTGTCTCTCTACATTTTTTGACTTAGTCTATTTTATCTGATGTAAGTGTAGCTACCTTTTTTGTTTGTTTTGTTTCCATTTATATAGAATGTATTTTTTGATCCTTTCAATTGCAGTTGATAAACATCCTTTAAGGCGAAGTGAGGCCTGGCACAGTGGCTCATGCCTGTAATCCCAGCACTTTGGGAGGCTGAGGCAGGAGGATCTCTTGAATTTAGGAGTTTGAGACTAGCCTGGGCAATATGGTGAAACCCTGTCTCTACCAGAAATAGAGATATTAGCTGGTGTGGTGGCTACTTGGGAGGCTGAGGCAGGAGGATTGCTTGAGCCTATACTTGGGTCTTGTGAGTTTTTGTTTTTGTAGGGCCGGGGAAACTGTTTTTTAATACATTGAGTCCCTCTATGTGTTTTGTTTGGAGATCCTAATCCATTTGTAAAGTTTTAATTATTTATTTACATACTTTTATTACATTTTATTTATTTACTAGTGACATAATGTTTATTATAGCTTTATACAGTATTTAATAATGATTAAGTCTTAATCTCCATTGCTCTGTTTTCAGAATGTTCCTAACTATCCTAACTACTCATGTCTAATTTTTCATTTCAATTTTAGAATTATCTTTAAAAAATTTTTTATCATGATTTATTGTGATCACCTTAAAAAGTTTTTAAAGTATAGAGATAATGGGCATTTTTAGGATGTTAAGTCTTTCTATCCAAGAATACAATATGCTTTGCCAAATATTTTTTCTTTTTAGTGTATTAAGGTTCATATAGATCTTATACATCTTCTGTCAAGTTTATTCTGGGGTATTTTCATATTTGTCATTGTAAATGAGGTATTTTACAAGTTTTTTGGAATGCAATTTTCTATATATAAATGCAATCAATTTTTAAATATTAACTTATTCTCATCTAATTCAACAGAATTTTTGTTATTCTAAATATTTTAAATTCTTTTCAGTTTTTCATGTATATAAATCATCATCGGAAAATAAAGATAGTTTTAACTTTTCCTTTCTGTGTTTTTCTACCTTTTTCTCATCTAATTGCATTAGTTAGTACCTCTAGAAAAATGTTAGAAATTGCTGTGATTGTAGACATACTTGTCTTATCCACACTTTAATGGGACACTTCTATTTGTTTTCCCAGTAAGCATAATGTTGGTTTTTTGTTGTTGCTGCTACTGTTGGAATGCTGTTTCTTTGTTAAGATTAATTTAAATAAATTAATATTCTCAAATGCAGGGTGTCAAAAATTGAGATATGGATGTTTCATTCTGTTTAATGCCTTTTCAGAATTTTATGGAGATGAGAGATACTTGAATGGATTGTTTCCTTATAAATATTAAATTATTTTGACTAATACATTTCTTAATCCTAAACCACCCTGACATTCCCAGAATAAACCTCAATTTATCAGGGTGTAATTTTTAAAGTTCTACTGGTGCTTCTTACTAATATGTTGTTGATGTGTTACACTGATATTTGGAAGTGAGATTCTTCTGTAGACTTCTTTCTTTTGTAATGCTTGTTTGATATGGAAACAATAGTTAATCTGGAATCTTCATCTTTAATGAGTATTGCAATAGAATGTTCTTTAGCTATTTTATTAACTCTTGAGGAGCTTTTGTAATATGTTTTTCAGCTTCATTTCCAAATACTTAATAGGTCTTTAAGAATAAAAATTGTGTCATACTTGATCATTGAGCCTAGAGCAGTGTCTGGCATATAGCACTGGACACCCAAGGAATACTTGACTTATTAATTATAAATTTGGATTTTTAAAAAAGCTACTCAAATTGTTCTGATATTCAAACAGGTCTTAGAACTGCTGCCCTAAACCAATTTTCTGTTTAAGCTTGTATGATGTCTATAAAATAATACCGCTTTGTCTCTACAACATACTGATGGAGTAATAAATGCATGAATACAGAGGTATTTAGAACTTTGTTTATAAGATGCTTTCTAATAGCAACTATTAGTCATACAGAGGCATACAATAGCAGAGCAAATACTTGTGGCATCTTTTTAAACACTAAAATGTCAGTTTTTGAATCTTCTATGAGCTATCTATATGATCTGTTAAAATTAACAGAGTAGAGGATACAAAATCAACACATAAAACCAGCAGCATTTCCATAGGACGATAACAAACTAGCCGGGGGGAAAAAAAAGAAACAAGAAAGCAATGCCATTTACAATAACCACAAAAAAGGCTGGGTATGGTGACTAATGCCTACAACCCCGGCACTTTGAGAGGCCAAGGTGGGCAGATCACCTGAGATCAGGAGTTTGAGACCAGCCTGGCCAACATGGTAAAACCCTGTTTCTACCAATAATAAAAAATTAGCTGGGTGTGGTAATATGTGCCTGTAATCCCAACTGCTCAGGGAGCTGAGGCAGGAGAATTGCTGGAACCTGAAAGGCGGAGGTTGCAGTGAGCTGAGATTATGCCACTGCACTCCAGCCTAGGAGACTGAGTGACACTCCATCTCAAAAAAACAACAAATAAATGAAAGTCACACACACACACACACACACACACACACACACACAAACGGGAATATATTAACCAAGGAGGTGAAGCATCTCTACAATAAAAATGGTAAAACATTGAAGAAAGAAATTGAAGAGAACACCAAAAAATGGAAAGACATCCCATGCCATGGATTGGAAGAATGAATTTTGCTAAAATGACCATACTACTGAAAACGATCTACAGATTCAGTGCAATCTCTATCAAAATACCAATGACATTTTTCACAGAAACAGAAAGAAAATATCTTAAAATTTGTATAGAACCACAACAGACTCCAAATAGTCAAAGCAATACTGAGTGAAAAGAGCAAAACTACAGGGAACATACTGCCTGACTTCAAAATATACTACAAAGCTATGGTGACCAAAAACAGTGTGGTATTGGTATAAAAACAGACAGCTAGACCAATGGAATAGAGAACCCACAAATAAATCCACGTATTTAAAGTCAGCTGATTTTTTTGCAAAGGTACCAAGAACATGCATTGGGGAAAGGACACCCTTTTCAATAAATGGTGTTGGAAAACTGGGATATCTATATGTAGAAGAATGAAACTAGACTCCTATCTTTCACCATATACAAAAATTAATTAAAAATGGACTAAAGACTTAAATGTAAGACCTTAAAGTATAAAACTCCTAGAAGACAATATAAGGGAAGCCGTTTAGGACATTGTTCCCAGCAAAAATTGTATGAGTAAGATTTCAAAAGTGCAGGCAACAAAAACAAAAATAGACAAATGGGACTATATCACCTGAGAAGCTTCTGAACAGCCAAGGAAACAAAAGAGTAAGGGGACAACTTGTAGAATGGGAGAAATTATTTGCAAACTATTCATTTGACAAGGGCCTAATATTTAGAATATACAAGCAACTCAAACAACTCAATAACAACAAAATCCCCAAATGAGATGATTTTAAAAGGGGCAAAACGTCTGAATAGACATTTCTCAAAAGAAGACACATAAATGGCCAAGTATATGAAGAACTTCTCAATCTCTAATCTCATCATCAAAAAAGGCAGACCAAAACCACAATGAGATATTATATCACCACAGTTAGAATTGGCATTATCAAAAAGACAAAAGCAAAACAAAACAAAACAACAAATGCTGGTAAGGATGCAGAGAAAAGGGAATTCTTATACACTGTTGATGGGAATGTAAATTAGTACAGCCATTATGGAATATATATATAGAGGAGTCTCAGAAAACTAAACATATAACTACTACTATATGATCCAGCTTCCCTACCACTGAGTATTTATTTAAAAAATCAGTATATCAGAGAGATACCTGTATCTCCATGTTTATTGACTCACTATTCACAATAGCCAAGATATAGGATCAACCTAAATGTCCATCAATGGATGGATAAATAAAGAAAAAGTGTTACATATACACAGGGGAATACTACCCAGCTGCAAAAAGTAATGAAATCCTCTCATTCACAGCAGCATGAATGAGCCTAGAGGACATGTTAGGTGAAATAAGTCAGAAATAGAAAGATAAATACCACATATTCTCACTCATATAGGGTAGCTAAAAAAAAAGTTGAGTTCATAGCAGTAGAACTGTGGTTATTAGAAGCTGGGAAGAGTTGGGAGCAGGAAGGTTAAGGAAAGGTTGAGGAATAGATACAAAAATACAACTAGATGGGAGGAATAAGTTCTAGCAGTATTTTATTGCACTATAGGTACATATACTCAACAATAGTTTATTGTATACTTTTAAAAAGCTAGAAGACAGGATTTTTGAGTGTTCCCATCAGTAAGAAGTGATATTTTTGAAGTGATGCATATACTAATTATCCTGATTTGATTATTATACATTGTGTTCATGTATCAGCATATCACCCTATATCCCATAAATATGTATAATTATTATGAATCTACTACAAATAAAAGGAAAACATGAGCTGAGAAGGGATGTTACCTTTTTTGAGCATAAAAGAGACCTTCTTCATAAGTTTGTACCCAAGTGATGTCATCTCCCCAACCTAAATAGAAGAGAGAAATCAATGCAGTAACCAAGAACAACAGAAGAGCTCTGAAATGGTTATCTAAAAAGCAGATATCTACCTACAGATTGTAACTAAGCCGTCAAGCTGTTGGCTGACATATGGTGCAGAGGACACACAATTTTCACTAGATATGGAGGTGGTTTCCCTTTAGATTGTAGTATTGAGGTTTTGCTACTGTATTTCAAACCTTGAGGCCCATGGCCTTGAACGCAGTAAGTGCTTAATAAATGTTGTTATGACTAGAGCTGATTGAAAGGAGATCTTCGGATAATGTAAAAGCTCTGGCTTTCAGAATGTTTGGAAAGTAATGGTTAATCTTTGCATACTTTGTAATATTATTAGGAATACTTTGGTCTGTACAATGCCCTCGTATTTTAAGTCCCAAGAGATTCTGACCTTATTCTAAGTGAGTATACATTGTGAAATAAGAGAATTCCAAATTTTGCTTTGAATTTTGACTTGGAAAAAATTCTAGTGTGGGAATTTCATGGCAGAGAGATATAATAAAGCACATGTGTTTTGGAAACACCCAAAAGAATGGAGAGAAAAAACAGAAAGCAATGAATATTGAGAGAACCCATTAGCCTTAAAGAAACGGTATGAGTAGTTGGGAATGTACATTAGAAATTAAAGAATAGCCGGGCGCGGTGGCTCAAGCCTGTAATCCCAGCACTTTGGGAGGCCGAGGCGGGTGGATCACGAGGTCAAGAGATCGAGACCATCCTGGTCAACATGGTGAAACCCCGTCTCTACTAAAGGTGCAAAAAATTAGCTGGGCATGGTGGCACGTGCCTGTAATTCCAGCTACTCAGGAGGCTGAGGCAGGAGAATTGCCTGAACCCAGGAGGCGGAGGTTGCGGTGAGCCGAGATCGCGCCATTGCACTCCAGCCTGGGTAACAAGAGTGAAACTCCGTCTAAAAAAAAAAAAAAAAAAAAAAAAAAAAAAAAAAAAAATTAAAGAATAAGATCATCAAGGAGAAGAATACACAGAACCTCAAAAAACATTACTATGTATTTTCAGGAAATTCCTCAGTCTATGAATGAGAAAGATTGAATTAATGTGAAAATTAGAATTATTTGAAGGTCAGTTTGGGCCCAGATTTTCTTACATCTTTCAAATGTTGTCAGACCACAGTTTCTGGGTTTAATATCATGGATAATTAGAAAGCAAGATAAATATGATTCTATGATTTCTGCTTGTTTGTTTTGCATGTTTGTTTTCTGGTGACAGTTTTATTGAAATAAATTCATATACCAATACAAATTCCTATTGAAAATGTATACTTTTAGCCAGGCGTGGTGGCTCATGCCTGTAATCCCAGCACTTTTGGAGGCCGAGGCAGACAGAATACCTAATGTCAGGAGTTTGAGACCAGCCTGGCCAGCATGGTGAAACCCCGTCTCTACTAAAAATACAAAAATTATATAGGTATGGTGGCGTGTGCCTGTAGTCCCAGCTACTTGAGTGGCTGAGGCAGAAGAATCGCTTAAACCCAGAAGGCGGAGGTTGCAGTGAGCCGAGATCATGCCACTCATACTCCAGCCTGTGTGACAGAGTGAGACTCTATCTCAAAAACAAAAAACAAAAAACAGTATACTTTTTAAAAGTATATCCACAAACTTGTATAACCATCACCACAATCAATTTTAGAACATTTTCATGTCTTCAGAAAGAAACCCCCTACCATGTAGCTATCACCTCCTCCCCATTTTCTTCAACTGCCACGGCCCTAAGAAACCCCTAATCTACTTTTTGTCTCTATAGATTTGCTTATTCTGGACATTTCATATAAATGGAATCACGCAATATGTAGGCTTTTGTGACTAAATTTTTTTCGTTCAGCATAACCTTTTTAAGGTTGATCCCTATAGCAACATGTACTATTATTTAATTCATTTTCTATGGTTCAAATATTATTTTGTTGTATGGATATACCACATTTTATTTATCTGCTCATCAGTTAATAGATATTTGGGTTGTTTCTACTTTTTGTTCTTTACAAGTCATGCTGCTGTGAACATACATATACAAGGTTTTGAGTGGTATATGTTTTCATTTGTCTTGGTTATATACCTAGGTATAGAACTGCTGATCAAACAGTAACTCTGTATTTAGCTTTTTGAGGAGCTGCTAGCTTATTTTCTGAAGTAGCTGTATCATTTTACATTCTCACCAGCAATGGTTTTTTTTTTTTTTTTCTTCCTGATTTAAAACCTTAACATTGGAAAACATCTCTTGTTAGTTTAATGCCACATCTTAACAGGAACTCTTGCTCTCTGTAATAATCCTGAAAGATTCTCTTTCCAGCTTTGCTTGAACACATGCTGTATCTATACACCACGTTTTGCGTTAAGTAAAAGTTATTCTAAAATAGCAAGTGAGACTAGGCCTCTGCTTAATTTTCCCTGTTCTGTTGCAAATATCATTTAATGCTAGAACATTAGCAATAGGAAAACTTTGTATTCTCTGCTCCTGCTCAATTTGGTTCCACAAACAGTAAAGGAACATCTGCTGTATATCTTACTCCACAAAGCAGTGGAAATATACACATTAAGCAATTATAAAAAATATCCATAGCCCTATAGGGAAGCCATATTGCATTATAATAACTTGTCATATACTGTGTCTCATAATCACAATAGGTCAAAGCTGGTACACAGTTTAAATGCTCTTCACGGCTTCTGCTTATTACTCTAATTCTATCCCTATCTCTGGCTATGTTTTCTTGTCTTTTGATATTTCATTCATTTATCTAACATGTATTTAAGTACTTACTAGCTGCCAGGCACTGGACTAGGAACTCAGCAATTCTGATTCAAAGGAAGTTGAGATTTTTTGGATCACCGTATGTGTATTTTTTTCTCCCTGAACTTTCTACTATCTTTTTCTGATTAATCTATCTTTTTCTCCTTACTACCTTTTCTACTTCACTGTGTTCTAAGAGGCTTCATATGCTGCTCTGCGCTCTAAGGAGCTTCATATACTGTATCCCAACTCCTCCCACTCCTCCTCCCTTTAATCTTCGTTCATTCTGAGCCTCATTCTCTCACTTGTTTCACATGTAGCAATAGATGGCAAAAGACTTTGCCAAATATAAACCAATTCTCAGTAACAGTCATTAGTCATCTTCTGTGTTAAATTAGTTCCTTATCGTTTAAAAAAACAGAACTTTAAAGTTGTTTAAAATAGAGCATACAAATGTAATATATTTTTCATAAAATTCGGCAGGAGTTTTAAATAACTATTTAGAAGTGAACACATAGAATATTGATGCCTTGTTGTATAGTTATAGCAGTGCTGCTTTATGCAGACCTGAAAAGTGTTTAAGGGCAATAACTGAAAAGTGTTTAAGGGCAATAACTAGTTGAATCTCTGGCACTTTAAGGCTACTGAGCTCATTGTTTTACAACTATTATGCTATATAGAGAAACAGAGTTATGTTTAGGAAAACATTTCAACTTTCTAATTCATTCCTTTTGCAAAAATATATTGACTTTCTGTATATATATAGTTTTTGTATTTGTTAAACTGAAGTAGAATTAATTAGCTTAGGTAAACATTGATGAGCACTTGGCTGGCACTCAATACATCTCTTAAGAAATGAAATGTACTTGGGAAGCAAGTCAATGTTTTAGAATTTGAAATCATATATATATTTATAATTATATATTTTAATATAATTTATTACATAAGATATTAGATATAATTATATATAAATATATACTATATTTACTCTATACATACTATAATACAATTACTCTGTTCCTACCTCTGATATATGTATACTCCTACATGGTTATTCAAAACTAGCAGTATTACTACAAGGCACTTGACCACTATTTGCAGTGGTAATGTGGAGTGTAGCAAACAAATGGTCCGTGCTCTGTGGTAATACTGCTAATTTTGAATAGCTATGTGGGGACAAAGAATTCTGTTCCTACTTCTGTTACTTGGAGATACAGAAACCAACTTTGAGAATTTTTTCTTTTATAAAATGTTTTTTTAAAGTTGAATGTATATTTGTTTCTTAGGACAAAGTAAAACAGTAAGTAGTAAAATGTTTTCTAAACATGTAGCCAATGGCAATCCTTGATTATGTCTAAAACCACTGCATCTGTGTTCCAGAGTCAATATAGCAAGACTTGGTTACCCCAGATTCTCAGGGTTTGGGGTACAGTATAGTTTTCTGGGTAGGCTTATATAAAGTTATTCCAAATTATTTTTTATTTTGGAGGACTGGGAAATAGAGAACTGAGAATTTGGGGAAATTTTGAGAAATCTTAAATTGCTCTTAGGACACTAATATGACATAGCAATCTATCATTATTTTCTAAGACTTTGGTTACCAAAGTTACAGACAGCAAGCCAATTCTTTATTATTTCAGTTAAAGATAATGCAAATTTATGTAATTGTTTGCTGGTTGATTTGATCCATTGTCTAAAATAAACTGATCCTTTCTGTTAAAATTCATTTTGAAGTCACACACAACAAAAATCATTCAGTTAGTTTACTTTGCTTCACAATTTGACAATGAGTGAAGACAGTGGATATTTTAAAAAGCAATTTAAGTGACTGAGTTTAGAAAATAAAATAAGATTACAGCACCTCTTGAGAGTGTCTGAGGAGGCCTCTTTTCCTTTCTTATTGCAATGGCAAGGTTGGAAGAAACTGTGATGAGTAATAGGCAGAGAGCTGAAGCTGAGTGTAGCATCATGTCTTCTAGAGAATCTCTCAGAAGAAGCTAGATGACAGAAAGGAATTCTCAGAATCTAGTGAGTTACTTCAAGCTATCACTAGAAGATATTTGCTAAGAGCTGGACGAATCCTGTGATGTCAGACTGATCTGCGTTTTTGGTTTGACATGGTATAACCAAACACATAGAACTTTAATTCACTTTTTGTTTTAAAAATACTTAATCAACTCGATAGATGCTCAGTTGGTGATAAGTCATGTTCTGAGTATCCTGGGCATAGTGTTGTATAATTAAAAGGGAGATAGATCAGGGCACACAAAGCCTGCTTCTGAATTGCCGTGTAGCGTTCACACCACCAAGATGAAACACAAATTAGGTTATGTTTTTTAATGGCCTGTAAACTATAAAGTGACTTTTAGCATGCAGAAATATTCTTGCCTTTTGATTCTCCTGTATCTAATAGGTCAAAACATTTTAAATCTATACAAAGATAAGATTAGACATGAACAAATATTGCTTAAAATAGAAATTAGAGGAAAAATAGAATATGGAGGATTCTCGTCCTTCAGTTCCTTTATTGATTTTACCTTTCTCATGCTTCAGCAATTACTCAGACTTTTGCCTCTCATTTATAACACAGCTCTTTACAAAAATCAAGTGCTGCCATATTACTATAAATGAGGCACATGTACAGAGAAGAGTAGACGTGCCATGATTACGTTGTCTCTTGGTTAGCTAGAATTCAAACTGGTTCTTAACTGAATGTGCTGTTAAGATAAAAACTAAAGTCCAAAGTTGGGTCTAATCTGGTCATAAACCACCTGATAAATATATTACAGGAGGTCTTTAATACTTGTGAGATATTTAGTTACAGCATTAGCATATAAAACTCATTTGAAAATGGTTGGCACATGAAGTTTTGAAACTTTACCTCAAAATATAAAATAAATGTACAGACATTCTTCACATTTAAGGTTCCTTTAAGATATCTTTCCAATTGACTTATATTATTTCGTAGTGAATTCCTCACCAAAACAGTGAAATTCCTTAGCTAAAATGGCTAGTGAATGATTCTTTAGTGATTCTTTTCAAACAAAGATGTTGCTATAGCTTATTGTAGTAGGCATTGTGGAAAATGGAAAGATATGTTAAGACACAATGTTTTGGCATTGGTAAAACATTTGGCAGTTGTAATACCCTAGTCATTTTAAAATAGCAACTGTAGTCATGGACGAGAACGATTTGTTGGTAAAGAAGTTTATAGATTCTAGGTTTCTCCAGACATTTTCTCCTTCCTCCCATTCTACTATTTCCCTTTCCCAGTGGCGCATATATTACAGCCCCTCTGTGGATTGAAAATAGTTACCACTCCAGGTTAACCTTACTTTATTTTCCTCCCTAATCCCAAGTAAACCCTCCCTCCTTCCCTCCCTCCCTTCCTCTCTCTCTCTCATTCTTTCTTTTTTCCTTTTCTTTTTTTTGGATGGAATTTCACTATTGTTGCTCAGGCTGGAGTGCAACAGTGAGATCCCCGCTCACTGCAACCTCTGCCTCCTGGGTTCAAGCAATTCTTCTGCCTCAGCCTCACAAGTAGCTGGGTCTTCAGGTGCCCACTACTAACACCTGGATAATTTTTGCATTTTTATTAGAGTCCGGGTTTCACCATGTTGGCCAGGGTGACCTCAAACTCTTGACCACAAAGGATTGTGCCTCACCTGCCTGCTTGTGACCCCTCCCCACACCCTGCATTAAAAAACCCTGTTAAACAATTACCGTGGTGCCTGATAAGGATTTCCATTTAAGTTCCCACAACTTATTAAACCATAAAACATTTCAGAATGTCATGTTGTACCTTAAGGACTCAGTCATCTTGTAATTTAAAGACTGAAACAAAGAAAGGGTGGATTTTAGTAGAGGATGGGGACAGTTGACTCTGGAACACGAAGCCCAACCCAGGGTAGGCAGCCTCAGTTAACTTGGTGCCGTCAAGGAACTGAGGCAACCATCTAGGACCTGGATCCAGCAGGCTTCTAGAGGCCTGTGGATGAGCTACAGAAGGCTCAAAATTCCCGGAAATTGTGTGCAAAATCTTCTCTGCCTCTGTTCATTTTCCATGGTAAGAGGGTCCTAAACTTCATTAAAATCCTTCCAGGGATCTTGGATATAAAGAAGAGTTAAGAAAAGTCAATCTGGAGGAAGCATTTGAAAAAACTTGTATGTTAGGTACAGAGGCAAGCAGGTACAATCTGCATTTTAAAAAAGGAAAAGCACTTCATCGTTTTTTGCTTTAAGCTGCCAAGTTTCCAGATAAGTGGGAACCATTTTTCCTTTTCAAATTTCAAGTATTTATGTATTCTTGTAAAATACTTTCTAATTAAAAAATAAAAATCTTGGTTTTCTGGTTTTACACTGACAAATTATAAAATAGATATTAAATATATTCTGTGACAAAGCAATACAACTTGTATATTGTAGATTTTGAATAAATAATGCTTTCCTTAGTAAAATATAGTGTGAATTGTTGAGGGTTCTTTAGTGTTGGTTGCAAGTTTAAGCTACTTAGGGGAACACAAATGAATATGGCATGGTTACAGCCCTACAGCAGCTTAAAATGCATTTGGGAGGCACATAACCATATGTCAAAAACTGTATAAACATTCATCAATTAGCATTTTCTGCCACTAGTATTTTATTTTTCAAAAGTAATTTAACATAAGTAATTGATATTACAACTTCCTGTATTTTAAAGTAAAACAAGACTTTAAAAAATATAAACAAGAGCTATTGTTACTTGTAGAATAATTCTTAAAGAGTCGTTTTTGTGGTTGATGTCAATTTATTCTAATAGCATTAATATAAATAGAGATAAAACTATGAAACCGGCAAAGGAAATTGAGTTCGGTAAAAGAAGAAAAATACAAATTCATTTCACTTACCCCACCCTTTTCTGAAAGCTTTACTTTTAAATAGCAAAAAGTGATTGTTTAAATATAGCAAAGCTTGACCACAGATTAAAATAATCTGGAAACTTTGCTTGCTTACCTGTCTTGGCCAGTGCTCTTGTTGGAAATGTATTCTGGACGTTTCTGGTTAAAAATGGGTGTGGATTTATACACACACACGCACACACACACACACACACACACACACCCGACCTACAACCTCACCTGCATAGAAACGGAAGCATAGTTACCTGAAAACAAACTTACAGAAACAGACTGGTCTGAAAAGCTCTCTGCTACTTTCCAGTTCCCATGCTTCTCACACTAAAAATGTTCTTCTCTCTTTCTCTAAGATCGAATGTCTTCATAAAATGAGGCCAAATACCATCTTTGTGCTTTTTTTTGTTTTTTTACCTTTTATTTCCCAAGGTAATTTAATGTTTGGCTGATGTTCAGTACAAAAAAAAAAAAAAAAAAAAAGGAAGAAAGAAACCGGAATGAATTTAAGAACTGTGTGCAAGCCATTGTTCTCGATGAGAGTGCCGTGAGGCTTGAAGATTAGATACAAAGCAAATAGAAATTCCTGAGGGTTACTATGTTTACAGAAATATAATTAATAGCTAAAGAGATTGGGTCCTTTTTTGAGAGAAGGAAATAAAAATTCTATTTCAGTATTGAACACTTTCTTAATTTGATTATTCTTTACAATTTTTCTATAAAACATTTACCGCGCGAAAAATGAGAAATGGACAATTAGATACGTTTACATTTATCTAATAGTTATTCTCCAAGTAATTAAGAGTAATTATGTAATTACTGTTAAAATAACCTGGGGGAGGGTGTCATCAAATTTGGTCTACCTGCTTTTGTACAGCCCAGGAAAAGGAACAATTTTTACATTTTTAAACGGTTGGGAAAAAAAATCAATAGAATCATATTTTGTGATCCATGAAAGTTACATGAAATTCAATTTCAGTGTCCACAAGTAGAGATTCGGTGATGGTGTGCAACCGTGTACATTTGCTTACTTGTGTCTGTGGTTACTTTTGCACTGCAACATCAAAGTCCAGTACAGTCCAGGACAGTAGATACCAAAATCTGTGCACACTCAAGTCCCATATCTAGCCTGGTGCAACCCACAGATATGAAAACTTGGTCCTCCTCATATGCAGGTTTGGAATCCAGTGAACACAGTATTTTTGATCCACTTTTGATTGTAGATGCAGAACTTGCCCATATGGAGAAGCGTATTTATTAAAAAAAATACTTTTGGAATCCAGTGAACACAGTATTTTTGATCCACTTTTGATTGTAGATGCAGAACTTGCCCATATGGAGAAGCGTATTTATTAAAAAAAAAATACTATTCTAAGTGAACCCATGCAATTCAAACCCATGTTGTTTACACAGCTGTGCTCATGACAGGGACTGTATCATCTGCAAAACCTAAAACATTTACTAACTATTGTAAATGTTTACAGAAAATTTTTGTTGAACCTTAATCAGGTTCAACAAAATTTATTGTTTATAAATTCCTTCCCTCCCTCCCTCCCTCCCTCCCTCCCTCCTTCCCTCCCTCCCTCTGTCTCTCCCTTCTCTGGCTCTTTTTTTGTTTCTTCTTTTTTTTGCGGGGGAGGGCCTAATTGCTCCAAATATATTAACAAATATACCGTGCAAGAATGGAAGCAATGACTGCCTTGCTCCTGATGTTAAGGGGGTGTGCTCTAGTATTTTAACTTTTATAGTGTGCTGGATTTGGCTGAGTTGACCACGTTGAGAAGGTAGCCTTTTTTTTTTTTTTTTTTATGGAATTTTGCTCTTGTTGCTCAGGTTGGAGTGGAGTGCAATGGTGTGATTTCAGCTCACTGCAGCCTCCACCTCTCAGGTTTAAGCGATTCTCCTGCCTCAGCCTCCCAAGTAGCTGTGATTACAGGCACGCACCACCATGTCCATCTAATTTTTTTGTGTTTTTAGTCGAGATCGTGTTTCACTGTTTTGGCCATGCTGGTCTTGATCTCCTGACCTCAGGTGATCCACCCGCCTCGGGCTCCCAAAGTGCTGGGATTACAGGTGTGAGTGATGGCACCTGGCCGCTGTTATTCTTAAGCTAAGTCTCTTAAAAGCAGGAATGTTGGATTTTGTTCTGTAAAGATGGGTCTATGGATTTTCCCATTTGATAGAGAAAATTTTACTGTTTTCCTAATTAAACTTTCCATGGTCCTGAAAGTAACCTCAAATAGCTGGTTTGTATATTCTTTCACTGTACTGCTGATTTGTGTACTTGTCTAGCTGTGCTTTCTTCCTTACATAGGAGTCTCAAAGGGAACCTTCCCTGGAACATGCTCTTCAAGTGGAATCCTTCTTGCTGAAGGTTAAGAAACTTGACTTACAATTTTAATTTTAAATCCAGCCAGCCTTTGCAAAGCAAAGAAATAGCTGGGCATTGATCCTTAAACTTTCCTGTTAGCAAAAAAGGATGGGAAAGCTATCAACTTCTTGTTGACTGAGAGTAGTTATGGAAAAGTCTCAAAATATTCTGCATCTCTGTTAAACTTCTCACATAGTATTCATTTACATAAATTATAAGATAAGAGTGAGAAAGAGGAAGTCAAGTACCTGTGGGGTAGTGAAACTAGATCCTATAATGTCTGAGCTGATCGGTGTCTTTGGATCTCTCCCACTAGGGTGATAATATAATATGTCCTCTGACCCAGGACAGTTTCGAAAGTAAAAGGAGGTTCATTGGAATTATATTATTTTAAAATACTATTTTGAAATATGTATTTGTCACCCAAAATTGGTTTTACTGTATAATAGATCACAAATGGTTCTATGAAAGATTATTCTTAGAAGTAAAATTATTTAAAATATATTAATGTACATGATGGCAAAATTATACAAATTATCCTTTGTATATCTTTATGTTAATCATTTTCTTAACTGTACGTGTCTGATACCAGGTGGCTGGTATTGTTCTGGCATTAACTGTCTTCTTTCTTTTTCAATATGACCTTATATTTATTTTTTTATAAAATTGCCTGCAGTAATTTTAAAAGTCATCCTTATGGTTAATGGATTTGCAATTGTCAACAGCTTCAATTGATTCTTCCTGTAGATCATATTACATCCTATTTTTAATTAAGAAAATATTCTTTTCACAGCTGGTGGGTTACCTGGTAACTTGAGAAAGTTCAGTTACTGGAGGACAGTTTTAATTCTAATTTATCTTATCAAAATATTATTTCAAATATTGTCTTTTAGCCTCTGCTTAGAGTAGCTTCTTCAACAGAAAATTTTACAAGATGAAACAAGTAAAATAAGTCATCCCTTCTTATAATTAATTTAAATATTTCATTAAATTTCCAAGCTACAAAATTGTAGGTACTCTCTATTTCATTCTATTCAGTAACAGAATAAAAATGTGTCTAATTCTACCCTTTTAATAATAAATCAAGCTATTTTGCTCTTGGGGTTGATTCTTTTGAGGGCATTGTCCTATATTTTTACAAGTTTAATTGGTCACATGAGTTATTAGTTAAATTTAGGGTAGAGATTATCTATTCATTTTGTGTGTGCGCGCGCGTGTGTGTGTGTGTGTGTGTGCGTGTGTGTGTGTGTCCATCTGTTTGTATTTCAGTTTATCAGTCTCTTACTAAGAAAATATACATATATTTCAAAAGACTGACAGTGGAAAGTAGGTATTTCTCTTTCCCAGTCTATGGGTCTTCTTAAGGCAATAATCGTTACTTTCTGAGGCTTCTTTTAGAAATACTTTCTCTCTGTTAAAGCATGTCTTGATTCTATCAATCATCTGTTTATCTCTCTATATATCTACCTATTTATATTTGTATATTAACACAAATGGTGCCATTCTATCATACTTCTGAACATATTTTTTATGTAATAATATTGAAGATTGTACCATATTAGGACAAGTATTTGTGAAACTATTCACTAAATGAAAGAGAAGAATATCTTGCAGAGAGCATTTATGTATTACTATTTTCTAAATCCTGTAGAGGCAAATAGTTATTTTTAAAAACATTGTGTTTGGAAAAAAGTAACTCTTTGAACTAAAGGACTAGATAGCTTCAAAATTTGTTGATGAGCAGTGTGATTTTATACCAAAGATTTAAATGCATGTTGTTTTTATAAGCCTATAATAATCAATGTCTGTTACCTACAAGTTCTTGCTCTGTCAAAAATAGTTGTACTTCCCATTGCAAAACAATAATACTTTATTTCCATTAAGCATAAAGTCTCTGAACTTTCAAGTACATCTAAACACTCGATAAACTTGTGGTATTTTTACAATATAGATATAAATGAGATTTATTCCTTGGTATTTACCCTGTGAGCTAAATAAGATTAAGTAGAATTGTACATGTAGCTTTCGGGTTAGAGATTCAAGTCCTTCAATCAGGCTCTTACCTGTAGCATGTGGTGGTAAACTTTTTACTTTTCCCCATAAAAATGCACTTAAACAGGCATAGCATTTTTTATCCCATGGTAGAAATAAGGAACCTCAACTGGCTAGTTTCCTTAGCCCAGTTCAGGGAGGGGCTGTTTTAGAAGACATGGATAAAGTTAAAATGGAGTGTACAGAGCTGGGAGGCGGCCATAGCAAGTGTAAAATGAGATCCCCAAATAGTTCTCAAATAGGTCAAGAGTTGATACAGATAATGACAAGAATAAAGCAGATCCAGAGAGTAACAGATCCAAGAAAATAAGGGAGTACGCATTGGGAGGAAAGAGTGGTTGGGCTCTTGAGTGATGTGTGGGACATTTGGCTCCATTCAATGGGCTGGAGAATATGGGTATAGATTAGAGGATAAAGACTCTTTTTTAAGATGCAATTAAGGTGTTATAATGTGATCAGAGTTTTAAAAGTTATGTTTTAGTGTGGAAAAAATATATTCATAACCTGCAGATGTAAAAGCACAAAGCAATAGAATAAAGTATGTTTCTAGGAAAACTATAAATCTTTCCTGAGGGAATCATGGTATTTTGATAGCTTCAAAAAATTCTATTAGAAGAATATTCCCTGAAAGAGAATATAGCTTCTCCAGTTGATCTTGTTCTTAAGGGCTAAACATTGTATATACAAATCCATAATGAAAATTAATTTTCAAAAATGTATTTCTAAAAGTCAACTAAATTGTATATTTTTCTAAGTACAAATTGACATTTTCTGTGCTTGATGATTAAGCTAAATACTGAGTCCTCAGTCCTACTAAAACTTTTCATTCATTTCTCTGTTGATTGATTTTTTTTTTTTTTTTTGAGACAGTCTCACTCTGTTTCCCACTTTGGAGTGCAATGGCATGATCACAGTTCACTGGAGCCTCTACTTTCTGGGCTCAAGTGATTCTCCCACCACAG